TAGCTATTTATTATTAGCATTGTTCTTCCGACGTCTGATTTCATTTTAATTATAGAAACTGCGTTTTTCTAAGGTACATAAGCTTTTAGGATTGACTGTATAGCCAATACGTCCTTAAGCACCGACGACTTCAGTCTCTAAACGCTCTTTACACTTCGAACAGAATCGAGAGCTCTTCTTTTGTCGGACGAAATCGACAGATCGCGATCACCTTCTCTACATATAAAATGTATACCTAACAGTATCATGAATTTGGCATGTTGGTCACAAAATTCATCGTCCCTGTTGCCCGGCAAATACATATACATGCCGTGAAATTTGGTCCCCGTAATCGTCGATGCGACAGCAAGCTGGCATGTAGGGAATCGAAGACTATCACCGAATCGTCATCGTCGAAGTGTGCGGAATCCGCGAGTAGACTCGCTAAATGTCCGCGCAAGAATCCGTGCCCCAGGAAACGGTACCCAAAGCCGGAAGTAAAATCTCTGTACAGTAAATAGACCGCGGATTTTCATGCAAACCGAAGAATTCGTGGTGTCAGTTAAAAAAATCCATTCTAACATTAAAGTAAATTCCATCATAAAAAATCCTTTCTACACACGTGTTCTTGAGAGTCTAGGACCGTCGTATACACGTTAAAGCATTTAAATGCACAGAATGATCAAAAAGTAAACTGTGCCAGGTCCTAGACTCTCGGGAACACGAGTATAATTTTTAATCATATTTTTTATATCCACTTCCAATCTTTTGTGTAATTTGCATAAAATCCGCTGTGTCTAATTAAATTCCACCGAAACCCAAAATCAAGGACACTAATAAATAATTAAATTGCAGTGTCCTTCGAAAAGCGTAGTTGACGTTTACCAAGAAATTTATGAAGACATAACGAATCAAGGAAAACTGATTCTACTAGATTTCCAAAACGAATCTCAGACGATTTTAGACCGATTGAAGGAAGACATAAAAGCATCGAAGAACAGCGAGCAGGCGATATTGCAAGGATATCTACACGACATAAAGAAAACTCTGCAAAAACTGTTGGCGTTGGATCCGACCTGCGGCTCGCAGAAGCGTAAGTCAGCGATGATTCTCAGCGAGCACGTGCGTCAGGCACTCGACAACGTGGAGTACGACGTGGTGCCCAGGGTAGACAGAATCAAAAGCGTGATCCAGAATTTAGAGCGCGACGTACGGTTCAACACCGACCGTGCCAAATCATTGATAGCCTCGTGCCGGAAATGCGGGACTGCCGAAGCTCTGAACAAATGCGTCGAGGAGAACGCGAAATACGCGGGGAAGCTTTTGGAGAAGACGTCGAACAGCGCTAAAACGGCACTGAACAAAATCGACGCGTTGCAGCAGGAAACTTTGAAGCATCACGAGGCGACCATGAAGGGAATCACGGAGATGTATCGAAAAGAGAGCGACACGTTTCTAAAACAATTAGACGATTGCATACGATCCGTTAAATCCGAGAAGAAACGATGATGTGGATATGTAAAAATTGTATAATTTCATTGGTTACCGTCGTGGAACAGCGTTTGCCTCGGTACGATGTTGATCAGGTTCGATGGAACGCTGAGCGTGGAATTTGTCAGGAACGCTCGCCTGACCTTGTTCCATTTCGAGTCTTGCCTTTGCATCTTCGACGACAAAATCACCGATTCCAAGCCGAACGATTGCTAAATCAAGGCAGATAAGAGAACAAGAGTACAGATAACATCGTTTCGCTGATTCGCAAATTCATCACGAATTATCTGTTTCGATTCGAACTTGGATTGTTTAAAATTAAGACACTCTGTATAAGTTTTTTTTCTATGCGTATATTAAAATATTGACCTGGCGTTTGAAATCCTTGTACGGATCGCCGTAGAGTCTTCGTGGCTGCGGGGAGCTTCCGCCGGAAGCGCTCGCGCCGAGTGGAAGCAGCGGCGAATTCGCTTCCGATGAAGACGTATACCTGATGTCATCTTCCTGTGGAGGTATCGTGATCGTCAGGGTCGGGGTCGACCTCTTAGGCGTCGATCCCGCGTCCTTCTCCTCCGATTCGTTCGACAATTCCGTCGTCTCGTCCTTTTCCGACGTGATACGAATCAACGGTCTCCCTTGACTGACCTAATCATCGAAAACATATCGCGTTTTCGAAACATGTACAGCTAGTAACAACGAAATTAAGCCAGCTACGTGCATGTGTTAGTTTCCCTTAGGGGGACAAAATTCAAAACGAGTAATAAATATACATCTTATTTTTTCGATGCTCGATCTAACATCGGTACTGTTGGATTTTATTATAATTTTAACGCGTCGAAATAAAAAGAATTTTAATGTAGGTGGTGGTAATGTGCGTATGTTAACATTATTTTTATTTTGGCGTCAAAATTATGTTAAAATCCAACAATATCAATGCGAGATCGAGCATCGAAAAAATAAGATGTTGACTTATTACTCGTTTTAAATTTTGTCCTCCTAAGGGAGACTAACACATGCATATAGCTGGCTCAGTTTCACTGTTACTAGCTGTGCTATGATTGATTGTATAC